ACTAATTTTGCGTTATGAATCATAATGTAAATATCTGATATGCAGGATGGTCTTAGGTGACCCTTGTGAAAGGGTCGTTCGACCCCCAAAGGGGTCGCAACCCACAGGTTGAGAACCAAATCTGTTGTCACTTAAATAGGGAATATAGTCAACAGCATTGTAATGACAGTATGATGCCAGGTGGGTACTGGAACTATCGGGGAACACTTTGTAAAGTACGTGATTGTCTAACCACTATTCTGTAATTAATATAAAACCTGAAACTAATACAAAATAATATTGAATGTAAAGAAATGAAAATAGGAGTGAAATTTTTATAAACTTCAAAGTTTAAATAAAGGCTGTAAAGGTAGGAAGGGGAGAATAGAAATAGTGTTTTTCATTTTACCACTTTATTGTCTTTTCAGTACATGAAAAAGACAGTTGTCTTTATATGGTGCTTTTATACTTTTCAAAGTCATTATCTCATTTGATGTTCAGGGCAACTTAAAGACAAGATAATTATTCCCTCCACTATTCAAAGAAAGGAAATCTTGGTGTCTGGCCCCAATGATTCAATTGTCAAGCCCTTATTGTAAAGCAGGGTTAGTGAAATTTTCTGTGCAGGTTCATATCTATACTAATAAAAGCTTTGGGGGTGATCAGGCCAGCAGAGGAGGGCAGTTGGGGGTGATCAGGCTGGCAGGTGAGTGGGCCCAGGTTGTGGGAGGGATGTTGGTCCCAGATTGCGAGAGGGATGTCCGACTGCCAGTTTAGGCCCAATCCCACAGTTGGACATCCCCCGAAGGGTCTGAGATTAGAGAGGGTGCAGGCTGGGCTGAAGGACACCCCCCACCCAATGAACGAATTTCATGCACTGGGCCTCTCGTAAGAAATAAATAATGATACAAGAATCAAGTCTTGTGAGTTTTGCATACTACAACTGTATACTTACTTTTGCCCTATCCTGGCTATACTTCCTGTTCATTTCTATTTCTTCTCTTTTTGGAATTCTCATGCTATTCTTTTTATTATGTTCCATAAGTCCCATAGGCTTCCTACACTTTTTTTTCATTCATTTTTTTTCTTTTTGTTCCTCTGACTGGATAATCTCAAATGTCCTATCTTCCAGGTCACTGATTTTTCTGCATGGCTGAGTATACTTTTGGTATCAGGAAATTTTGCTATGGAGGCATCCATGTGGGCCTCACATGGTTGTTCTGGGGGTACAGTGGAACTGGACAGGGACTGTGGAATGCCTGTAGTAGTAGGACATCCATAAGTTGACCATAGAGCTGAAACATGCATCAAGGGTCAGATTGTCCAAGTCCCTGATGTTATTTCGGACAAGAAATCCTTTTATAGGATTTGAAATGCTCTGCCAAGTAGACTTTCCCCATCCCTTAGGATTCAGGCGATTTCCTCAAGCCGATCTCATGAGATTATTCACCAGATTTTTCCCAAATCTGTAATAAATAAGGGTCATATACATTTCCCAACACATGGATCAACTAACCAGACACTCTCTCTGCCTAAGGGAACTATTTCCTAAAGGAAATAATAATCAATGGAAAAAGAAAGCGTTTGGAATTGCCATAAAAATAACTATCTATTTTCTGGGAGTGGGTGAGTTTTGCTGAGGAAGCAATACAGGTGTTTCACTCTCTTTCATATTAGATAATAAGACCCCTGAGTTAATCAAGCTATGTTTTCACCTGGGTAACATTTTGGACCACTATAATAGGTGTCTTGCTCTGGGTAAACATTTTTTTTTCTAGCATAGTCCAGTGGTGCAAAAAAGTGGAAAATAAGGGTGGCATGAGAGTTGGGGTGAAAACCAAGAGCAGAGTACTACCTATGTTAGGCAAAGAGTGATTTAAAAAAGTTCTTCAGCCCAAGTACAATTCAGAAAGAGTTTAATAAACAGCCACTAAACATTGCATCAAAGCATTTGGAAACACAATTTCTACAGAGGCAAATGTCAGGCTTCCATTCTAATTCCATAAGATGATCATTAACAACCCCACTCCCACCCCCCATCCCCACATATCCACAACACTACACTCTTCTAGTCATAAATTTATCTACAGACACAGTCTTAGGAATAATGGGACTGGCATGCATTATTCTGGCAATGGCAAAGAAGCAAGGTGTATAGGGAAAGGATGGATGAAAATTCAACCAGCAGCTAATGATAGAGCCCTAGGAGCTTTGTTCAGGGGTAGACAGGAAGAATTTGTTTTTTTGGTACCATCTGTGGCTTTACTTTGGGCTTCTAGGATATTCTGGATGAATGGCTAAGGCTGTCACCTTAATCTCATTCCCTTGAGCCATTACCATTAGAATTGGTCTCCTTGGGTAACATATTGTGACTTTCTAAAAATCATTTTGTGTCCAAGCAACCTGCATTCAGGACCCACCAAGCTTATTGATATTGTGCTGATCCTGAGATTAAAATGGACTTCCGTTCTCAATTCTATCTTCATTTTGGCCTTTGGAAAGAGAAATATGATGATTCTTTATTACAGACAGTTGTAAAGAGCCTAGGCAAGTCACTCCAACATCAAAGACTTAGTTTATCTACCTTGTAAAAATATTATAACTGTCTCTTTTACTCACATTAAGAACAAATTATATCAGATGGCATCTAAGTAATATATTATTAAACTGGTAATAAAGTTAATTATTTAGTTGACTCAAAAATCAACTAGACTCTGATTCACTGCTCCTTAGAATCAGCATTAACAGAGGACCAGAATTCCCTGACACATGGGAGCAAAGATATTGGGCCTGGACTAAGGTATGGAATGTGGAGAGTGTGATAGGAAGAATTTGATTTTTGTCTGCCAGTATCCCTGTCTTTTGAGCAAGAATTTAAGCCTTAACTACCACCCAGCCCATATCTGTTGTCCCATCCAGTACTTGACTAGGTACCTTAGCAGGGAAGTGACTTTTCTATCACTCTAATCCTTTTAAAATTATTGTGTAGGAATTTGATATAGATCTTTTTTGTTCCTATTCATACCTTTTTAGTGTAAATTTAAAAAATATTTCATTCTTTTCTTAAAGAGTTTGCAGGTGGCAATGAATCTAAACTAAGCAGTGGCCAGCTGGCTACAAGGGTTGAGGGCTTGAGAGAAGAGGGCTTTTGCTGGAGGAGATATATACCAAAAATGTTACTATTTTTCTGAGGAGCTGGACATGTCAGGGAACCAGTCACCTTGGTGTCAGGCTGGCCCAGTTTATTCTATCAGTTTTGGCCATACATGATAAACAGTGGTGAGTCTCAACTGTTCCCATTAACCTCCAAGTCAATAAAGGGGCTGAGGGGCCATGTTTAGAGGATAGCACTAGAGCCTGCCTTTGCTATTAATACTTACACTTAGTGGGCCCTGCTGTAGGCAGGGAAGGTGACAGGCAGGACCACATGAAATAGCCCTGCGTGGATCCCTACTGAGTCAGAATTATCTGATCTGGGCCAGTTAACAATCCTCCTTGGTTTGGACCTCTCAAACAGCCAAGGCTCCCACTACAAGTAATAGACCCTCCTGTACTTTTTGCACTGGGCAGAGTGCAATAAAATATATGCAGTTACCTCAACTGGGGAAGACTGGCAGACTAAGATGAGCAACTGGACAAATGGCAGTGTTTGGCTCTGATGAGGGTACACTCAGCAATGTTAGAGGAACAAGTAATTTTTCTGTTGTTTTTTTTTTTCATTGAGGTTCATAAATATGAATTGAGAGTAATAGCTTGGTAGAGGGTTAACAAAAAGAATCCTGAAACACATGAAGGGGAGCCCCAGGGTTTAGGTGCTTGGATGCTTCCTAGGGTATACTGTACTCTGGTTGCTGTGCTGCCACTATCTATTGTTTGCGAATCATGCCCTTAATAGCTGACTCTCGGTTGACATATGTGGCCCAATAGACCAGATTGAAAATGGCAAAGAGCACAGGAAAGACGATGCGGGAAATTTTGTCAACCTTGCTGACACTATTGTAGGTCTTGGTTTCAGTTGGGATGTCCGGCACGTAGGTGGTCTTCGGTGAAGCAATGGTAGTTGGTGTTGAGGGGGCACTGGGAGCAGCACCCTGGGAGATGGTTGAGAACTCAGTGTCCTTAGCCAGATTGATGGGATAGGTGGTCCCCACGATGTTGAAGGTGGTGCCTGTTTTCTTTGTCGGAGCTGCTGGTGTTTTCTTCTAGGGGCCAGAAAATGTAGGGGAAAAGGGGGAACAAAAAATCTAATTAGTTATTTACATTGAGCACCTTCAGAAGCTGTAGAAAGGAGGAACCCTGAGGGAAGTTAAGACACAAGGGGCCTAAAGCCAATAACACTGAGTAGACATGTGTGCGTGTCTAAAAACTTGTATCATCCTGGTTTACTAGCTATGTAGCTTTGGCCAAGTAACTCCTCCTCTTTGAGCTTTAGTTTCTTCATCTGTAAAATGATTATCAAAATATTTGGGAGGGTTGTTGAGAGAATCAGATGACAGAATGGTGGTAGAAACCACTTGACAACTGTAAAATGTTGGTCACATGTAGGGTCCTATATAATAATGTGATTTTATCCTTATGGTAACCCTAATGAGGTAGGTGGGTGAGATTACTCCTATTTGACAGATGAGAAAAAGCCTCAGACTGAGTGGCAGAGCCCACAATAGCCACTTGGGCTCCTGACTTTTATCCAGGGCTCCTCCATGCTGCTTTCTATAGGCACAAGACACTTTTTAGTTACCCAAGAAATAACTCCAAAAGGCTTCAATTATCAAGTGGCACATCTCCTGTGGGGAAGAGAGCTCGGTGAGTCTGAAAGTAACTTTGCCTTAAAGATACAATAAATACTATGGTATGTTTACATCTATCATTACAACAGTATCTCAACCTTCATGCACTGTAAATGTGTTCAGCAAACTAGGGGGCACACCAGAGTTTTCCACTCTTGCAAGGCTGGAGGCCAGAGCCACAGCTTCCCAGAAAGCTATGCAAATGCTCCCCTCTGGCACAGCAAAGGCAAGGACAGCTAGGGGCTTGCTATAACACTCTTCTTTGGATTTTTTTCCAGATTAAAAATATTCAATGGGAAACAAGTATGCACACACGTGCCCATATATTCTCACATATATAAATTGGGTATATATGGATCCTCTGTGTAAAAAAGAGAAGAGACAAAGGTCAGGCCTCGGTTGGAAGAGAGAGGCTGAAGAATGGGAGGCCAAGGGAGCAGGACAGTCCCAGACTTAGCCCAAAGTCAGTGGCCAAGTTCATAGTCTGTAGTATTTTCAGCCTCACTCCCCACTCTGGCTTTTTCTTCTTTCCATCCCTCTTTGTTTCTAGGGACAAGTGGGGATAGATGAGCTTCAGAAATGCCCAGGAGTAGGGCATTTTATTGCCCTAATTTCACACACCTTACATTGTTCCCTTTCTCAGTGTTACTTTGCAACCTCTTCACTCCTCTACTTCCTATGTGTTTTCCTTCCTAGGTTTCTCTACTTCCTCCATCTCTTAATGACCCCTTTCTCCCAATCTCTTCTCTTTTCTTCTTTACATAAGAGTCCCCATCATTTTGATTCCTTTTCCCCTTTAGACCACACTGCCATTTACCTTCCTGATCCTAATAACTTCTGCCAAGTATTTACTGGGCCAAAAATTATGCTAGGTATTTATGGACAGGTGGGAAAGTTAAAATATGAGTCAGTTTTAGTCCCTGTTTTCCAGGAGTTCACAGTCCAGTGGGAGAGATAGCCTTCTGATCACATTATCACCATATAATGTGATCAGACCTCTAATGGATATGAGCAGAATATGATAGAAATTCAGTAGAGAGAGGGGAAAGGTACCTACAAATGTTGGAAATGGTGGCGCAGAGAAAGCAATTAAGTTTATAAGCTTGGTTGCAAAAAAAAAAGAGCAGGAGCTCATCATATAGCGATGCAGCAGGCCAGTTCACAGGCCAAAGGGACTGTTTGTTTGAAGGGTGACAAGGAGTCTGCTGTAGCTGAATCACAGTGAGCACAGCAAAAGCATTGGATGTCATGTCCTCCTGTTGTGCTTGCTGGTGCTAGCTTTAGGGTTTTCAATCAGGGAGAGAGTGTTGGTTTAAGTAAATGAATAATCTGACTAATAGGATGTTTACAAAGCAATACTGGTCTTTCTCTTTGAGGATTACAGTCACTTTGCTACAAGTAGAAGTGGGGAGGAACTTTAAGGCTTCTAAAGGTCTTATAAATGCTTTAAATACTACATGGGACTCATTTATAATTAGCAAATTTATTGTGTGAATAGAGGCCTGCTGCTAAATGCCCTAGCTGTTAGATAAAAGAACACTTTACCGTTTGACTGCTTACTTGTTAATTCAGTTAGCAATCTCTTTTTCTCAAGGGTAAACACACACACACACACACACACACACACACACACACACACACGAAAAAAAACAACCTATTACCCTGACTTTGCTGGAAGCTTTCACACATTATTTTATTTAGTCATCTTATAAGCTGGTTAAGACAAAGTCTCCAAAAACAATCATTCTGAACAGCAAACACTTTCTTCAGCTTCATATATACTTTGTATTCTACAGGTGGGGAGAAGCAGCATTTGATTCAACTGCATATTTTTAAGTAATAAAGGAAAATATATATTTTAATTTCCCTTGCCCTTTCCAACATGGCACATTTTAATAAGCCCACATAATTTTTACTTAAATTGTCAAAGAAGAAAATCAAAGCAAAAGTTGTGGTGTCACTAATGCAGGAGCCAGAATCAGAGATTATTGGTTAATATTTCTGCATCTAGTTTTCTAATACTTCACTATGCTCTGCAATTTGATAAATACAAACTAGAATGGCTTACCTTTGACCAAGTTGCAATTCTATTCCTACCCCCCTAGCCAAGTGCCTGGTTCTTAGGTATGCAATAGATGATTACTGAATGAAAAAAACGACACCCCCTCCACTCAAGATTCTTGATGTACTATACTCTACAGAGAGTGTATCTCTATAGTTCCATAATTCATGTATGACAAAACTGAAACTGACTTCTCCAAGTTCCCTCAAACAGACTGACCCTAAGACAAGAATGCCTTTCCTTCTAGAAAGCTACCTCATCTGGGTTTTGGGATGAGACAATGAAAACTTTTATGAACTGATGCATGTCCAACTTGAGTTTTCCTCAAATGGCACTCCTATCTATTGTTTTCAGAAGTACCATTTAGAGGATTAGTTCTAGCCCTGAATGTACTTGACACCCAGCTGGGGTTATAGAACATATGCATATATGATTCAGTGCCTCTATGTCAACTTCCTAACAATCATCCATCATTCCTAAAGCCCAGTTTTCAGAAGTGGGGCAAAGTAATGGAATCTGTGGTAACTTGAACTCAAATACAAATCAGAGCAATGACAAAAAAACGAACAACACATTTTTCAATGAGAAAAGTACTTGAATAGACATTCATCCAAAGAAGAAGTACAAATGGCCAGCAACCACATGAAAAGATGTTCAACACAGTGCACTAGT